CCTGGTAACACTAGGAACAAATTTATAGTGGATTTCTTTTTGATAATTTGAAAAGTTCTGCTTTTCCTGCTGCCTCTGCCCATTTTCCCACAGTTCTTCAGAAAGACTGTTCATGAAAGCTGGATTTTTGGCTCCGTGCCAGCTAATCTGAATAAATCACTTGCGTACAATAACATGGCACTTCTGTTACCTAGCCTTGCAGAATAAAAAGAAAATCCTACTGGAATTACACCATATATAGTTCCTAGTTACTGTGCAAGATGCTCTGCATGGAGACGCCACTGTAGTCACCCTTTCTAGATGCAGCTCAAGATTAAATCCGTTCTGTGAGGACTTGCACTCAAAATGCGAAGTGGGAGAGCGCAGTGCTGGAGAGTGAACAGGAATGTAGTCAGTCACTGTATTTTTTTATTTTTTTGGTGGTGGGGGAACAGTACAGCAGCCTCCAATCTGTTGAAGGAGTACGGCAAGTGGAAGCTGGAGTAGAAGTTGAACGTGTTGGGCCATTTTTTGGAGATAGGCACAGTCAGGGCGTCTTGCTGTTACACACTGATGGAATGGCAGCTCATCCAAACAGCAGCCTGGTTTTTGAAGGAGGTGATGCCTTTTTCATCTGCCTCGAGAAGGTGAAAGGGGCACTGAGCAAACTCATAAAAAGTGACTTTTGGAGGGGAGGATTTGAGAGATTGTGACTGAGTAAGAAACTTGCCCTTCCCTTTGTTACCTGTCTATGCTGGTAGGCTCCCAGCCTTGGTGTGAGGTTATGGACTAGCAAGGCGGAGAGCGGACCAGTCTGATCCCTCAGTGTCACCAGCTGGCAGAGGGGACTGCTACTGACTCGTGAAAGCTTCAAGCCCTCAGGGCTGGAAGGGCGTGCTCCTTGATCACACTTGATCAAATGATGCATCATTTGTCACCTGCAGTGGAAATTGTTGAAAAAACAGTAGCAAAACAGCAGCATTAATGATTCCTCTTTTAATCTTTTTTCTTCTGTAGTGCTGTTAGCTACTTGGGCAAGGAAGGTCATCAGCACACCTTAACTGCTTCAGTGTCAACCAGTTCATGGGAAAAGCTTAGTTGTCATTGCCCTTTCATGGGTACCTGAGCAGAAGAGAAAACTGATGAAACATTCAGAACAGGCACACCAGAGGGGCCCAAGTGTTTGCTGGGTTCTGTAGCAATCCCTTTAAGTGGCACTTGGAAGATTTTTTTTTTTCTTAGCCTGTGATTCATTTGGCAAAGGGATATAGCAGTGGCTAGAAAAGAAAAGGTCTTTTTTTATGTGAGATTTATGGAGTGGAGTTGGAACCTGGCTTGTCACACCTGTTTGAAGAGTTAAGTGGCCGCTAGGAAACAGCAGTAACCCGGGCTTCTTGTGCTTAGTTACATCACCACAAGGCGCTTTTCAGGATTTGCTCTTTCGCCTTGCGGTCCAGTGCAGCACCCGATACCGCAGCGGTGCACCAGGGCAGCCTTGCTCCCAGTATACCTGCTCTTCGCACCGGCTCTGGGCAGCGCATGCTGCGCGCGGTGGTTCCAGAGGCTGTCCCGGGGCCTCCCCGACTGAGCAGGGGCTAGGTCTGGCGAAACTCTCTCCTTGGAGCAGCGGAGCTGCAAAGAGTTACTCGCCCAGTTGCTATCGCAAGTGACATCTCCGCTGTGTTAAATTACAGGTCATAAATGGGGATGAGATAATTCAAACAGGCAAGTAAACCCAATCAGTTCTCTAGCTGAGCAGTACCCAGTCCTGGCCCAGCGCACTGACCTCCTACCCATTCCAGCTCCTCCCACTCCCTGTGCCCAATTCGTGTGTCTTAGAGACGTGTTTGTTAGACTGAATTTTCCTTTGAGTGAGAAGATGCCTCTACTCACCAAGCTCATGCTTTTAAGATCGATTTCCAGATTTATGATTGATTTAAGATTAAGATTTCCAGCTGTTTTGCAAACTGGCATAGCGAGCGCTCATCAGTGCCAGAAAATAACCAGCCTTTCATTTTTAACTCTTTGGAAAGCTATGTTCTTTGGAAAGAAATTTTAATTTTAAATTCTATATTCCAGGTGAAATTTAGTCCGAGGAGGAGGAGCTTTAACTTGCTGAAGAACCCATTTCTGCTAAGGCAGTTGTGTTTTGCAGGATTTATTTCAGCGTGGGAGGAAAGGCTAAGGCCTTTAACTCCTCCGTTGTCTGTTCTCCTTGCTCACGTTGACTGGATCAGGGCAAGTGCTAGGGCAGGCTATGGCCTGCTTTGCTGTTTGTTGATTTCTCGTGCCTCCTCCTCCATTTGCTCTGCTATACAGACCTCGGTCTCTTCAGGGCTGTAATACAAGCAGTACTTAAATTCTGCTCTGTGTTTGCACCCTCACACTTACCCCTGTGGGGAAGCCCGCTGAGAAAAGCAAACATTGCTTGATTGCTGATGTACCACACAGCTGATGTGCTGGGATCAAAATCTCAAGGGGCTGTTGTAGCACTTAGGTCTCCGGAGCAGTATGTCTGAACTATCCCTTAATGTTTGTGCCTTCTGTGCATCATTTTTCCTTCCATTTTGTTTCTCAATGGGCTGGACTGGGAAGAGTTCCTGCATGCAGCTTTTTTCATTCAAGGAAATTAGACATTTTTCCTTCTCAAAGGAAAAAAAGCCAATCAGCTGGTAGCATGGAGAGCATATTTACCTTTTGCCGTCTCTGTTGCTGCTTTGTGTGGCTGCATTATTATTTTTTTTTTTTGAGGGAAGATGAAAATTGTAATTTCTAATTGTGCCACCAACTCTTTGGCTTGACCCTCCAGTCCTTTATCCCACTGCAGATAATCTAGCTGTTAGTAGGTTGGGTTTCGTGGATGGGGCTTTTATTTTTTGTAAATTTAGTACACATCCTTTAGCTTTCTGCTAAAAGTGGAGGCTAGCACTTTCTGTGCCAGAAGAATCAAAACTGGGATGCGGGAACCCTGGATTCGGCGGAGCCCGGGAGCCCCTCTGAGCTGGAATGGGCCTAGGAGCAGTGTGTTCAGTGTTTGTTCTTTGTGTTCTGTCGATGGCATCTCCCCCTCCACCCACGCTGCCCTCTTCCCCTTCACCTCAAATAACCCCTTAGTTTTAGCTTCTGGCTGCTTCTTCTCTATGTTGCTGTTGCACCCTCACTCCTGCCAGTGACTGCAGGCTGCCATTATCTGCTTTTTTTTATTTATTTCAAGCATACCATGAGTTTATTCTGAGCACACGCCATCCAAAATACAGAGACAATGGCTGTTAGATACCACTTGCACTTTTCTCTGCCAGATGAAACCTCCACCACTTTTATTTTCTGCTGCCTGTTTCTGTTTTTCTAACATATTTTTAAAAAATGAAATTGGCTATTGTTGTTACTAACATCAACACCCCCCACTCCCCCATGGCAAAATACTGCATTTCCATCTGCCTCGGCCGGAGGCTGTCTGGATAAAGCCACTGTGACTGGATCAATTCACCAATGTAACTTTGACTCACTGTCACCTTCCATCACGCAAAAAGGGCCAGGAGGGCCAGACCGGCCTGCGAGAAGCCCGTGGCACTCGGGGGCCATGTCACCCCAAGAAAACAGAAAGAGGCAGACACCCCATCTTACCAGAGAATGTTAGCCAAGCTGCCTCTGCCTAGAAATCATCCGAAGACGCTGCCACAGCCCCGGGTCCTGAAGTTCCCCGTACAGCAGGCTTGGGGGGCAAAGGCGTTTCATTTGTGAAGGAGCTCTGACTTTGTGGGGTGTTTGTTGCAGGAGAAGCGGATCGTGTCCCTGGACTCTGCCAACACGCGGCTGATGAGTGCCCTGACGCAGGTGAAGGAGCGCTACAGCATGCAAGTCCGCAATGGCATCTCCCCCACCAATCCCACCAAGCTTTCCATCACGGAGAATGGTGAATTCAAAAACAGCAGCTGCTAACTGGGCAGATGCTGCCGGCCATCTCCCCAGAAGAAGGGCAAGAGGGAGCAGACTCAAGAAACCTTCAAAATAGCCCCCCCTTCCCCTTATAGGTTTACATAATGCTGCTAATAAAATGGAAAAGAGAAAGAACTCTGAAAGGTGGGCTTGAATTCCCCACTCAAGGCCAGGAGAACCAGGCTCCCAAGAACAAGTCCTTCCATATCACTGTGTAAATAGAGGGAGCTCTTGGGTCATGTACAGAAAACGCCGATGTAATATACCAAAAGGAAGTGAATACTGTAGATTTTTTTAATTATTGCTATTTTTATTATTATTTTTTTTTTCTCTTGTTGAAAGCACTGCAGTCCTTGGAGGAGGAAGAGGGGAGTGTGAGTGCATGTGTGTTGTGGGTGCGAGAGAGAGAGATGAGCAGTGGGTTACATTAGGCAGCAGCTGTATATATCGGGCTGACTGACACAAGTACATGAGTGGAGTAAAATAGTAGTGAAATGAATTCTATAAGAAAACTCATCTGCTAGTTTTATTCCCCTGTTCTCTAGCTGTTCTTTAACTGAATGCAAGCTCGATAGCAAATATTTTAGCAAGAAAATTGGCTCTTGCTGGATCCTGTACCTACTTTCTGTAGGACTCGGGCAAAAAATTTTCAGTCTTTTTGAACAAGGTAAAAACTTGGAGCAGCCAGCTTGTTTCCTTGCATTTGCACAGTCAGGCTTCCCATCAGACAGACAGAGGGAATCTGCAGTTTTTCAAGGTAGGATTCTTTCTTTTTTACCCCCGTTCCAATGCAGTTTTATATTTTCTGTTTTGAGGATTTACAGACCTGTAAATACTTTTTTTTTAAATTTCTATCCAATCCCCACTTTACGCACCATGCAGTGGCGCCCTGAATTCATGCTCTGCGCTCCATCAGGAACAGCCAGGTTAACGCTCTGAGGAAAGGGCTAACCAAAGGGTGCCCGTGCCCAGCAAAGCAGACTTCCATATGCAACATTTCCTTTTTCCTAGAGGATTTCTATGTTTTAACTCTCGTTCAACTTCACCGTTTCAGCCACTAGCTTAGCCGGTCTAGTTCCAATGAAAGATGCTTTCTGCAAGTGTGTGTTAAAAGATCTTCCATTTCCACTGAAATTTGCCTTTCTCTGGATACTTTAAAGGTTTGGTTTGGTTTGTTTTTGGTTTGTTTTTTTTTAAGTTCTGTACACACTACTTTTTTCTTAAGGAGTTTTGACTAAGCTTTCCTCTCCAGTTACCTTCAGTTGCATTTCATAGAAGCATACTTACAGGCTGTATGTGAATGCGTATAAAATTACAAAGCGACCTTCTCGTGGAAGATAACGACATTCACAAACTGTAAAAGATTAACAATAAATGACACAGTATTATCAATCCTCATAATTTCGTCAAATGCCACAATATTTAGTCTGAGAGTTTTTTTAAAGCCTCAGATCCTAGAGTCAAGTAATAGTGTGTGAATCTTCACTTTCACTTTTTGGTATACATTTCTAGCCCCCAAACTCTCAAAGTAAATAAAATTATTGCAACGGCAATTGAAATTCTGAATTACAGAAGTATACTTATAACAGTGAGTGTGAGTAACCCTTCAAACTAGTTACGGAAATGAGAAATTGGAAAAGTTGACTTCAAAATGAGATGAAACCTCGAGAGGGTGCCTCGGTGTGGGATGTGTTTAGCAAGCAGTTCAGGCTGCAACTAGGAGCAAGTTAACGGTGTGGCTGTGGGGGTACCCGGCTGAAATCGTATAGCCTGTGAGACGGAGAAGGTCAGAGCTGATGATCCGATTATCCTTTCTGGCCTTAGTTTCTCAGTCTCTAAAATGGTACTACGTTAAAAATGGAGGCGTTTCTAAGCCAATTTCTTGGCTTCCTGAGAGTGCCCCGTGTTGCCTTGACCGTGAAGGCTCGGCAGTACTGGGGACCCAAACTCGGTCTCTGTTGTCAAGTTTGTTTGTTCTTTGGAAATGAATTACTCTCACCTCTCTGGGCAAATGCAGCTTGGGACAGAGCGCAGTCTGTTCACTGTCCTGCTTGATCATTGCGTTAGGATACTTCAGTGAAGCGTCGTCACGCAAGTATGTCACATTACTAACTATGCATAAATACAGAGACGGCATCTCCTGCACTGTAGGATCTATACGAAAAATGTGTATGAATCTCTCTTAGCCAGGCCTTGGCTGTTAATTTACATCTAGAGGAGACTTGTCTGCAGCGAGTTGGGATTTATATTTAATGCTTAGTTCTTTCAGAGCAAAGCTTCTCTGGCTGCTCGAATGTGACTTGGTCCTACAGGCCAAGGAGCATCCCTGCCTTGTTCTTGCTGTATCGTAGCCAAGTCAGCGCTGTCTGACGCACCTGGGGTTGTGCTCTGCGTTTGCTCAGTAGTGACTTCTTTTCGATACTTTCCAAACCGTCTTCCAGCTCTGGGTCACTGCTGACCTCTGATATTTTCTTCCTCAAACTGTGCCTTTAAGTTCCTTCTTCTTTCCTTCTTCCTTCACGCATCACAGCCGTAGGCAGTCTGTCGACTTTGTATTAATCTGTCTTGTGAGTAGCTCTCTTTTCCAAGAAAACTTTGCAGACCCCTCTTGGTTGAGTATTTTTGCGTGATCTGCATCTCCCCTTTGCTATGTACTGCAATTACACAGCTGCATCCTGGGAAATGTGTTCCCAAGAGTGGCCTTTGCAGGCGGGCACGTGCATTGCTGGCTTATTACACAGTGCAAATAGTATGGGTGTTCTGTGACTGAGACGTGGGAGCAAGTGGTCGTAGGAATACATTGACTAGAAGAAGGCAGAAGCAGATACATCATTCTGGTAGCGTTTAGTTTAGCATTAATTTGGGAAACGCATTTCACCGGAGCTCCCCAGCTTTCTGGTAATCTGTCAAAGATCCCTGGCCGAGCTGTGTGGTTCGGTGCTGAAGACTCTGAGGCGTCCACTTTGGTTTCTGCAGAGAAATGCAATAGGGCAACATTTCAGCCCTGATTTTTACAGGGGAAATAATACCTGCCCCAAGATTGATACATTTTGGTGAGGTCTTCAGTGATGTATCATTCTAATAATGTACCTTCTCCTATGTATTTCTTAAGCTTGTAGACTAGGAAAAGTTGCTATTCTAAAAGAGGCTGAGCCATCAGTATCATCCTCACAGCTTGTTGCTAGGCTGGTTGTCTCGCTTCTATTCCAATTTCTACCCTAAAGTGCAAAGCGTTCTCCAGCTCCCGCTATGGCGGAGAAGCTGCCTGTTGACCCAAAAGGGGGTGAAGGTTGCAGACTCACAGTGCTGCAAGACTAAAATTGATTAGCTGCAAAACAAAACATTATACTCCTGAGGTCTGCAGGCAGCTCTCTCTCCTAGTTAGTTACCAGGCAGCTTTCTAGAGAAATTTTAAGCCGCTTCAAGCTGACAGCATGTGAAAATGCCAGCTTCTGTTTTGTCCAGTCTGATCAAATTCATGTGGCGCTAAACCACGTGGCAGCCAAAAGGTCTGTCTGCTTTGGAGCAAGAGCCCCAACTGGGCCTGATCACATTTGGTTTCAGACGAGCAGCCAGTGGGTTTCTGCAGCAATGAGAGAAGGCGGCAACAGCGCGAAGTCTGATGATGATCAGCATGATAGGCGTTAGGGTTTGGTTCAGACTTTCGGCAAATGCATCGGGCTGTGTCTAGTGCTGTTGCAAGCAACTGCTGCTCTCATTTGGAAACAGCTTAAGTAGTGCAAGAAAAATTAAATAGCCTGTAGGAGTAATACTCGTGTGTTCCTAAGACCGAAAGAGAAAAGTTGCCCCATCCTGGCATCTCAGTCCTTGCTGGTTCCTCCGTACCGTTCTAGGATGATTCCTCCCAAACCACAAAGCCACCCAGGCTTCCGAGTTCCCAGTAAAAGCTCACGGCCAGCATGGCGGGGCGGGGAAACGGAGCAGCGCTGTGGAGCGCCGCGGCCTTTTGCCGTGTTGTGTGTGGCATCTGCAGGCTGTGTGGAGAACAGAGGTGGCCAGAATGGCATGGGATGGGCACTGATGGAGAAGGGAGGGAGCACGGCCTAGGAGTGGCGTCCTGTAAATGCCCGTTCTTTGCAATTCGGACCTTTTTTTTAAAGGAAATAGACAGATTTCACGTCCAGGAATTACCAACTGTTATTTCCCCAGTGTATTAGAAACGGGCAGCGATGCGTAAAAGCACAGATTCATACAGCTACACATTTTGCAACGTTCCTCTCCAGTGGAATAACTCTAAGCAGGGGATCCAGAGGAGTGTGGAAAGGGACCGTGTACATTTTCTAGTTGGAGAATATGAGGTGTATCCAGTAATAAATTCTGTACCCATCTAATAAGTCGTCCAAGAAATGGGTTTTATTTTATGTTCTTGCAGTTGCTTTGGGTTGGCTTAGGCTTTTTTCTTTTACATTATATATTAATTTCATGTTTTAATGCTTGCTTTAAACCCACCAGCTTTTAACTTCATCTGTAAACTCAATGATTGAAGCCCGTCAATGTTACAGCAGCGCCCACGGAATGTGTCAGCAATACTTACCTGCTAAGGTCACCATCTATGTCTGAATTCTGTTTGTGTTCTGCGAAAGTATCCGTGTCGTTCCTGGAGAACGATTCCTGTCCGAGTTGCGCCATTAAATGTATTTACATCGGCGATTAGCATGGTCAGCCACAGGTATCCAGCTGAGTGCGACAGAGCAAAAAGGGTTAAATTTAGGCTGATGCCTTTAGGTATTTCCTTCTCCAGAGTAAGTTAACTCCCATGAGAGCGAGCATGTCATTACAGATCATGCCTGCCAGGAATCCTACCTGTAAAAATAGATTTTCTGTCTCAAGGGCCTTAATAAGAGTGTTACTACACAGAACTGTTTTACAATGATAGCTGTAAATAATTTATTTTTTATTTCAACAAAGTACACCTTAAAAAGTAATAAACTTGTTTTTCAAGCCGTATTTTTATGCTAGTAGCACTGGACTGTTTGGTCTTT